AATTTAAGTTATTTTATTAATCCTCGATAATATTATTAGACTTAACATTTATTACTCAAACAAAACATTTATACTACTATTTAAGAAGTGTCTTTAAGAAATACTTAGATAATAATGAATTTAAAATTGTTCATGATCCAAATATTTGTTTAAAATTGATAAAAAACGAAGTTTCATTCGTTTGATAAATATTTAAAAAGAAGGTATCTAAACTACATTAACATTTAAATATAGTAAGAACATATAAAAATGATAAAAAGGTACAATAATAATTTGAATACTTACTCGAAGACTAACGCATTTGTTCTACCTTCTCATTAGATTGGTGTGAAGAGGGTCAATTTGTTTGCGGCAACAGCCGAACTTGCGTGGATCATGACAAGGTCTGCAACGGCTTCACTGACTGTCCCGAAGGAGAGGACGAAAAGAAATGCACCGCGCTGATAGAAGACGACACAATATTGCATTACGAGAAAGAAATCACACTCGCTGGGAACGTGAATAATTCCGATGCAACTGTAACTAAAGGTGTATACCTGTCACCCGAAAATGTCCCAGAAGTACAATCCAGTTCTAACAAAGACGTAATCTTCGATCAAGAAGCAGTGGAGTCGTCCATCTTGGAATCGACCACATTGAGTTTATTCAAGGATAATAGTCAAACAGAGAAAATTATTAATTCCGAAAGCGAGTTGACGATCAAGCAAGGAACCTTCTTCGACAACCATGAACATCTTAATGGCACCACCCACGTATCTGGAAGAGAGATATCTTCGAACACGAAACATGTACTGACACATGGGAACTCGATCCATGTGAATACAAAGAAGAATGGATCGACGGATACGATCAATTTCAAAAAGGAAATCAACAATTACAACGAGAAAGGTTATATAAACATTCGGAAAAATGGAAAATGGGGAAAACTGTGTCTAAGTGGGATGGACGGTCTTCTGCAAGAAAGACAGGCCAGCTGGAGTATCGAAGACCTTGGCAGAGCTGTCTGCAAAGCGATTACATATCAGTAAGTAATCTGAAATAATTGAAGTCGTGAATTCCAAAACAGCATAAGTTCACTTCTTGACATTATCTATATGAATTATTGATGTAATTGTTTTCAGCCTGCTCAGATCTACTTGATAATATTAAAAATCTACACGTAATGAAAATGTACGTGTAGCCAATGCTTAGAACAATAGTCAAGGAAATAGATAATGAATGAACGAAAATAAAAAGATAGATTGACTTTCTCGAAATTTTGATTGGTTGACTTGTGCTGTTTTGGAATGCATGGCTTCAACTGTAATTAATTCCTATAATAATAAATAGTTTTTATTATTTTTCATATTGCAGAAAATGAAAAGAAAAGGTTTGGTTAAACTTTTAAACTACAGATATTCGTGTAGAAAGGGATTGTTACGGATTAATTTTTCCAAATGTGACAAAAATAGAATTAACTTTGTACATGGTTCTATTAATTCAACGGCAAATCATTTATTGCATTTAATAGTTTTAATATGTCTTTTCTAAATACATCCTAGATATTTACATATGTTGAAACTTCATTTAAAATTCATTTAAAATGATGTGAACAATTATATCTGCAGGCATAAAAATTAAAAAGTAAAACGGACAAGCGTACAAAAATATTCTTGCTTACAATATATATTTATAAAGAAACTAAAAAAGTAAGAAACATATTTTTATTCATAGGAGCTTTTGTTTTAACAAAATTTTTACAGATGTTCAGATAATTACAACAGAAACATAGAAATACAAATACATTGTAATAAAGCTTTTAAAACTTAATATGCAACACATATTTTTACCCTGAAGAATATATGCTATGCAAATTTAATGTAATGCAATTATACATGAAATATTGAAATCAAATAATTCCATCCCCTAATTCTTATATTATTTCTATTATTAAAAAATTATGAATATATGTAACGAGAAAACTTTCGAGTGCAAAAGGTTAATAATAAAAATCTATTTCGAAGAAAATGCTTGATACTGATACACTGCATTTTTCACAGGGACTTCGAGACTGTTGAAAAGGTATTGGACGAGAATTCAGAATCGAGCCGTTCTTATTATAGTCTGTCATACAACGAGAAACCCCTGGATAAGACGATCCTGACTTTCAAACCTTCCGAGTGCCCGAGCGGCGAGATTCTCAGGGTCAAGTGCAAGAACCTTGAGTGCGGAATAAGAACGCAGGTTCCATCGCAAGCCAGGTATACTCACTGAACCAGTTTCTCATAATTATATACTGGCTGGAACATTTGTAAAACTGTTTATGTACAAAGTACGTTTCAATAACAATAATATATCTGCCAGAAAAAAATGACAAATAAACGAGTGAAATTCAATAATGTTAACTCTGAATGGATGCACACAATTTCCGTGATTTGTTTTAGAGTTGTGCACCTCGATTATTTCTTAAGAAAAACTGATCTTTGAAAATACAGATTCAAGAACATTGTTTTTATACTACTAATTTAACAATTAATATAACCTAAAAATAAGTCTTTTCTTATACAAAACAATTTTGAAACACAATATAAAAGGGATATTATTTTTAACCGTTTAGAATCTCGAATAACTAATAAATAATTTGAATAAATCTTGAAAAATTTCAGTAAATTGCTTTATGACTTCAACTTTTTACCATTAACAAAATCTCCTTCAGTGTATTATAATTTTGTTCAGACTACTGACAGTAGTCTACTACTACTAACATAATATCTTATTGGCAGCAATTTCGTTTATTTTCAGAAGTTTGAAACAGTATCCATTTATTAGTTAATAATATCCTTTTATAAGATTAACTAGTGATCAAGGATAATTAAGACTGAACGCTATAATCCAATTAATCAATATACTTCCATCAATGAATTCATTCTCTGTAATATACAGAACATATTCATGAATCTAGTAGCTGAAAAGAATTCAATTAAAGAAATAAATATTTAAACATACTTATCGAAAACGTATCTACGCATTGAAGCAGATCGCGTCTTTCTCGACATTCCAGGATAGTCGGCGGTGGTAGCTCCTCAGCCGGAAGCTGGCCGTGGCAAGTGGCTCTTTACAAAGAAGGAGATTACCAGTGCGGGGGTGCACTTGTTAATGACAGGTGGATCTTGTCCGCCGCGCATTGCTTTTATCAGTAAGTAATCAAAATGAATCTCTATTAACACTAAACGTACCACGCCGGGTCAAATGATCGGACTTCCAAATTAAAAATGCATCCATAGTTTTCCGTTCTCGTTGAAAACAAATGAAACTATACAATCTTTTTCTTATTATCCGAAAGTTATTTTGTGCATTGTTTCCGTGTTAAATCAACAATCACCTATATTCCTTTAACAAAAATATGATCGGTAGCTAAAGCGCCGGTTCGTTTAGTGTTAACACTAAAACTACTGGATAGGTCACATTGACTCACTTCAGACTAGAGATTAAATTTATGCATCGTACAAACACGAAACTAGGAGACCTTTCGAATCTCAAGAAACCTATTGTTCTAATTTTTATAAAAATTTGAAAATAAGTCAGTCTAATTGCTCGGTAGTTTTAGTGTTAACCGTTTGCGGCCGTGTGTCTACTCTTAACCAGTAAAGCTCTTTTACTATTCTAGTCATATAGAACCTAATATTTATGCTAAATAAAACTTTATTATTGTAAGAAATTTGTCTAATGTTTCAAAAATATAATAAGTTTCATTTACTGTTTATAATCACACATAAAGTTACTACTGTCCACTACATAGAAATTAACACTAAACGTACCGGCACTTTGTATACAGCAATTCTTAAAGTAACTCATCGAATAACTGATCACACAGTAAAAGTAAAGAAGTTGGACGATCAATTTTTCTTAGTGGAAACAGAAACAGAAAGAAAGACAAAAATTAAAGAACTAATTAATCGGATAATGCAGGGATTGATATACAGTTACATGAAAAAAAGAAAACGCAGAATTTTCAATCATATTTTAAAACCGGTCGTTTGACCGGTCGCGATACGTTTAATGTTAGTTTCAACCACCATGGTATTACTATATAAAATTAATACGACCGCAAAGGGTTAATACGTTGACTGTCAAGGTAGTCAGAGATGCCGGACCTCCCAAATTACTTGAAAACTATTGCAATGAAAAATTTGATGTTGAATGAAAATATTTAGTAACATAGGCGACTAACAGTCAACATGTTAAACTTCCAATTTTACAAATTTATGTCACATATAAATATGTAAAACTCAGCGAAACAAAGTATTGAATTTTCAACAATACCACTGAACTCTTTAACAAAGATTATGGTTTTCTAAAAACATTGTAATTTTAGTAATTTTTCATTAATACCAGACTTAACGCTTTATTTACCATTCCTAATTAAGGCAACCACTCACTATAAATACGGTTTTCGTCATCGCGTAGAAGTATGATTTCACTCTGAAAAGCTTTGTAATTTCCTCGATTAAAGTGATGATTATTTGAAAACATTCCTATATTGTAAATAACGCTACCTAATGCGGCGACATTCAACGAAACAAACCTGTAATAATAACAACGCAATTCAATTAAATAATTTAATATTGTATTTTTCTCATTTCGCATATTCTGCGCTTTAAAATCGTGCGGCATTCAAGGTGTTAAAGTCAAAGTATTTGCTTTCACTTTAAACCACCGTAATTTTAATAGATTACCAATTCTTTATTTATTTGTTCTTATTGCGGTAGATAAACTGTTAACAAAAAATAAAAATAATATTGTTTAGAATAAAGAAGATAAAATTTTTTTAATTTATCTACTAGAAGAAAGTGCATGAAATAATTGATTTCAGTGCTCAAGATGAATACTGGGTGGCAAGGATAGGAGCAACTCGCAGAGGAAGCTTCCCAAGTCCGTACGAACAGGTCCTGCGGCTAGATTACATATCGTTGCATCCTGAATACATTGATAACGGATTTATAAACGATATAGCAATGCTGAGGCTCGAGAAACCGGTAATCTTCAGCGACTATGTCAGACCGGTATGCCTTCCTGAAACAGAGCCAAAAAGTGGTACTATGTGCACCGTAACAGGATGGGGACAATTGTTTGAGATCGGACGAATATTTCGTGAGTACTTCTTTAATATATTCATATTTAACACTAAATGTACCGTGAAACGATCAAATGACCGGGTTTTAAATTTTTATTTAAAATTCTGCGTTTTCTTTCGTTCATTTAAATTAATATCAATTCCTATATTGTTCAATTGATACTAGATTTACGAACATTTACTGTACAGTTTATTCTTTCGTTCTTAGAAAAATTGATATTCGTTCATTTAGATTTTGGAAATTAGAGGTTTAAAAGTAAACAATTAAGATACATATTTGTGTTTTATCAAATAATGTTTATAAAATTCGATATGAGTCAAATTGACTCATTTCGTAAATCTAATGTTAATCAGTTTCTCAATCCCTGCCTTTTCTTTTGTCTTTATTTCCACTAGAAAAAAATCATTGAACTTATTTACATTTATTTTGTAGTCAGTTATTTGACTGGTATGGTAAGGATAGGAAAATCCCAGTATGGTTAGTGTTAAAGAACCAATAAAGCTCAGATTCATTAAATATGCATATAGTATACAATTCCAATGCGAGTTTGCTTATATGAAATACAGTATAGGATTGCACTTTTAACTGCAAATTCAGTGCAACAAAATATCTTATTACAACGATATATGAAGCTTTCAACTACACATTAGCTCATACGTAGGTAACATGGCACTGAAAAGGCAAATAATCTGCGCAAACTTATATTTAATTACAGTTTTTATAAATTAGTTCATAAAATTTTATGCTTGCATACAGGGACGCGCCAAAGGTATTTGCCACCCGGATGCAAACTTTTATCAGCATCCCCTTAAAAAATTGCAAACATCATGATGTTTCAATAACACTTCGCCGCAAGGCCGTACACCGTCTCATTCACCGCACTTTTAATGATTACATTGCATAATTAAAATTAAATATTAAGTGCATAAAATAAATATTAAATATTTGTTTTTTTGTTGCCCTTGCACCCTATGGTTGGCGCGGCCCTGAATATATGATTGCAGTTTAGTTACCAAGGCGTTGACCATCCGTAACGAATAATGATTTTACTTAACAGCGGACACTTTGCAAGAAGTACAACTTCCGGTGATTTCAACTGAGGAATGTCGAAGGAAGACTCTGTTTCTTCCTTTGTACAGGATCACGTCCGGCATGCTTTGCGCTGGATTAAAGGACGGCGGAAGGGACGCTTGCTTGGGAGACAGTGGTGGACCTTTGGTTTGCTCGGGATCGGACAATAAATATACTCTTCACGGTCAGTAATTATGTTTCTACAAAAAACGAACAAATTAATATGATACCTCTATATGTATATATACATCCGTTTCCAGTAAAGATATCGATAATTAAGATTCAAATTTAACCCTTTGCGCTCGAAAGGCGCCTCTCTGTCGCCATCAGATCCGACGTAGCAAAATTATAAAATTTCAAATTCAATATCAAATTTTATGTAATTGATCAACAAGTGGAACGTCGAAATAAAATAGTTTCGTTTCTTAATTTATATAAGGCAATTATTTGTGCTAGTTACCAAAAATATTGTTACTATTTCATCAGAAAATAATGAATATTTGTAGTTCAAAGGGTTAAAATATTGTCGAGTTCAAAGGGTTAACAGTAATTATACAAATCGAATTTACTTAACAATATTGTGAAATTAAACGTCACTGTATGCAAATATGCATCTTGTAATCAGTAAAACTATGAACCGGTTCTGGCCATGATTTGAATAAGAATAAATTTGTGCTATAAGATCAAGATATGAACATTGCAAATATAGCGAATACTAATTGAACAACAATGTGATAAAAGAAACTATTTGATTTGAAAAGGAATTACTAAATTTAAAACTAACAAAAGGCTAAGTGTAATGAATTAATAGATTCATAACTGAAATACATTTAAACAAAGAAAAATGAATTATTAAAATTTTTGAATATTCATTTTAGATGATAAATTGTTATAGTTTCGTGTTTTATTTCATCAGGTATCACTTCGAATGGTTACGGTTGTGCGAGACCAGGAAGGCCAGGAGTATACACGAAAGTTCATCATTACCTTCCCTGGGTCGAGCACACGATATCAAGGGAAGACATCCGATCTTTAATGGTATCCTGCAAGGGTCATCGATGTCCCCTCGGTGAATGTTTGCCAAAATCTCGAGTGTGCAATGGCTTCTTAGAATGTTCGGACGGCAGTGACGAACGTAACTGCCCTATTAATCTTTAATGATCAAAGACTGACCGTACTTGAATCGTTGAGAATTGATGTACTCAGTTCAACGAATGAAAAAAAATTCATTTTAACACATTTGTTACCAATCCCACGAAAATGAACCTTAAGTTTCAACATTTGAATTTAATAACTTATTACTTTATAATAAGAAAATCTGCTCATATTCCAACTTCAAAGTACGTAGAAAGTGTAGTTGATTTAATACCATTACTTGATTAAACGAATTCAGTTGATACAGAATTTAAAGTGAAAGTAAACGTAAAAACAGTTATATAGTATACATTTACGTTACTATGTAGCAAATAAGAGAGTTCCAATTTACATAAAAAAAACACTAAAAACTAAGTATATTTTGTATTCAACAGAATATTAGAGATTCAGTGTGATTTATGACGAAGGATTTTCAAATAAAATATCGACAGCAAACGTGTTAATTGCAACGAGGTGTAGAAATAAAATACGGTGGAATGATCTTCCACCTGATAACAAATAAAATGTTGCAACAATGTCATACGAACATTTCTGTAAAGTATATGTTCGTTGAACTAATGTATGTGCAATATCTAGATAGAGATCGAAAGTTGAAGGTAAACGTTAGAGAGTATACTGAACATTGGTGCAAGGTGTTAATTATAAATAATTGAAATTGTGATTAACAACAGTATGAACACTAACTTGTACTCTTTCACGGAATTATCTTTGCATTTGATCGTCAATATTAACGCGTTCGATGATAATGCGAATAATCGCAGAGAATCCGTATTTCCGAGTCATTTCGAATGACTCGGAAATACTTGACATAGTGACATTTCAGACGAACCTGGCATTTTGATTCTTTGTCGCAGCAAAACGAATCTTAAGGCCACGTATATCGTAATCTCGTCGTTTTTGTTCTTCGTAAGTTCGAGAAACTTCCAATGAATATGTATATATCGTGTCTAATGTATTATGTAAAAAAGTACTTGATACTAATAAATAAGAATTTTTAGAAAAATCTCGTTAGTCTTAATGTTTACATAAATCAAACCTATTAAATTTCCTATTCTCAGTGAAACTAATGATAATTCTATTCCATGAGTCGCACAAGATGTAGTCAAATTGAAAATGTAATAACAATTAGACAAACAAAAAAATGTGAAAAATATTGTAAGAAGTTTAATACAAAAATTATAACCTAAAATCATGTATGATATTATATTATTGGTACAATCTTGAAAAGAATAACAACATCACCTGCGTTTTATAGACGGTATATCATTTCATTTTATTAGGACAATTAGAAATAGCACTGAAAATCATATTCGGAAATAAATATTGATTATTCTCGATACAATACTCTATCGATATTAAAAATGAAAGCTGTTAAGAGTCTACTGTGTTAAGGACAGTACGATCCTCGGAGCAAATAACCTCAGTCAATTAATCATCGTTCCGGCATGATACATGTTTAGTACCACATACAAACGATATATAAATGAAATGGAACCGTTCGAGTTGCCTCTAACCGTCCGTTCGTTAAAAAAGGATCGAACTGTTGAATCCATTGGTTAATCCTAAAACGATCTTGTTACTCTAAATCGTGCCGCCTTTAAGTAGAGCGCTAGTTGTTACGTTATACCTACGATTAGCACAATATACCAAGTGGTAAAAATCACAATGTAATTTATGTCACGTTCAAACAGCACGCTTTTGATGTTCAATATCAGGTTCACAACATCCCCTATTGTTCACGATACCCTTCTTCATAACAGGTGGACCATCAAGACTTTTGCACAATCATTTTGATCATTTCACACACATAATCCGATGTGCATACCGAAAATTCCAAACATTCTCGGATTGAACAAACGTTTCAGTAAGTGACAAGCTAGTTGGCTGGCCAAGGTTATCGAAACATCCACAATCATGGCCCAATCTCATCGTTCTAATTCCTTATCTACATACTTTTATGTAATGATTTCAAGAAGTAACTGATTTCTCATCAACTTGGTAGAAATATGAAATTTCAAAGATCAATAACTTTCCTTAAAACAACTCTAGACGAAATGCCTGGCCTTGACCAGCTAACTAATGTTGGCGCTTACCTTGATCGTAAATAAAATTCGATATTACTCTATTTACACACATCACGAATACCTGTAAAATCGGAAGACTCCTGAACAAAAAATCAATGTACCCTTAAAATTTAGGACATAAGGATACAATTTTGATGAAACCGATGACTAAACCGTGATGAACGCACCCTGCTGCAAAAGTCTAGAGGTAACATATCCAACTATTGATATGACATTCCTAAACGTTTCAGAAGTGGCTCCAAAATGCTTCCCAATTCTATTCTTTTCCTTATTCAGTGCGCCCGGGCAATACTCGCTTTGATCGCCCGTTAAAGAAAGAAATGTCAAGTGGCAATTCCTTGGCGAGTCATCTTGACGACCGGTTTGGGCAAAAGTTCGATTATTAAAAAATTGTGTAAATGTATAAAATTGCGGTCCGAAGGTAGCAAAACTTTTGTCCATACCTATATTACTAATCCAACCTACAGTCTGTCTCCTTATCTCAGCACCAAACGTGCAAACGAACGGTTTCGTGGAGGATGCCGATTCAATCTATATGTATCAACAAATCACAACCACTAGAGATCTAATTAATCCTATATTACAAAATATCATGTCGCGAATACCCGCGTAATTTAAATTCCGTGAGCGTAATCGTTTGATCGTGCAATCATTTTTTATTTATTACTATTAATTTTTTTTATCTTTTTAATTTTAGCCTGAACCGGGAGTCGATGATCTCCACGAAATGCACAGTTACATCGAACGAGATGGGACCGTAATGTTGTTCAGTGAATTGTTCTAATCGAGTACCGTGTTCTCTGAGAGATCACGGGATCTAGTTGCGCGGATGAAACTAATCCATTCTACTTCATCGCCCCTCTCCCGATGTCTTAAATTAATTGAAGAAGCAATAAATAAGAAATCGATGAATCCTCTGAAGATGATACCTCTAATGAACCGTATTCTTAATCGGATAGTTAGTTTAGGCTATAAATGGTTAAATTGTTGGCAGCTTTAGCCCAGTGAGTCGACTGCGATCGTGTTGAGACCCTTCGGACTGACCGTGGTCTTGAATTGCTCTGGTACAGGATACTCAGCCTGAAATGGTAAAAAAAGATATAAATTCACTAGATTATTTTCCGTTTAATCGAATAATTTATTATGGCAATAAACTTACGTAATCTCCGTTCCCTTTCGGCACCATAACATTCATCTCACTGGACTTGCTGCTGATTAATTCGACGTCCATCGACTCCGAGCTCAAATACATCTGGCAACCATCGGTCTTGTCGATGGAGATGGTGGGTACCTTTCCTAGTACCTGTTATTAAACAAGAAAAAGGAACCAAAATTAATTACGTATAGCTGTTATAATATATATAAATATCATAAACAGGATTTTCTTTTCACTCGCTAAAAATAGAACACTTGTTTATTTTCTTCACTGATAATAACTGTGTAAATATCACAGCAAATATGAAAACATTTTCAAAATCAAGATCATATATACACAAAATTAATCACTTGACTAAGAACATTAATATTTATTACAATGCAATGTATCCTTCTTTTAGACCACCCTATAAAAGAATCTCGTTTTCTATCGATAAACAACTGCAGATCACGGTTTTTGATGATTTTTCATGTTTCACGCGGTACAGCTCCAAAATAATAACAACAGGCACGAGCCAGGGATTCTATAACACCTATGGTCCCGACCAACCCGTCTTCAGACAGAATGCAGTGGCATTTCGGTGAGGCTTAACTTATCGTTACCATATCCACAATTTATTTATTTATTTTCTATTTTACTTATTTTTTGTTTAAAACTTAGCCTAAGCGTGTTAATTTCAAATTTTAAACTCGTTAACCAATTCCTCTCATTCGTATCGGCCTGTATTTGTGATTTACACAGGCGGAAATCTCGAACCGGTGCATATGATCTGCGAAGTCGACTGGAAAGAATGTCCAAAAGCAATCGCAAATTACATTTGGAGCGAGATTGTAACTGACGTCCTCGATTATTTGACCGAAAAACTAGTTCTGCAGGCATTAAACGTTATCTTCATCTGTTTAGTGAAAACAAACATCACGTTAATGATTCTTGTTCATCCTGAAAGTGATGATCAAACGTCGTCTGTAAAATTGCAAATATTCAAAAGATAGACCAAATATTTCCAACACACAGAACGTTTTAATCGTCTATTAAACAAAGAAAACAATTTACTTATTTTTCAATTATTCTTTTTCTTCTTATTTGTTTGTCTAATGACCCTTTTATCTAAATTCTTCGTAAACGTAAAATCCAACCAATTAACAGATTGATGAAAAATATTAGAATTATGAGCAGATTTAACAAACTTCTCTTTTAAATGTAAAACTATTGACCTTTTATTATAAAGCTATAATTCCATAACCAAATTTGATTACCTTAAAAAATGCATTTAACTTGTGTAGTTTTGTTGTTGGATTTTTCAAAATTGCAAGGTTTAAATTAATTTCAGGAATAATAAGATCTAATAATTAACATGAACATTTTCTGATAAATAGTTATCATTACAAATTATTCTCTGAAAATATTAATCTGCATCAACGAGCACAATTTGTTTATTAATAAAATTTATCGTTGTTCGAAGGTTCTTTGTACATTCCTCGTCTGTACCTTATTATTCCGTGTAATACAATCTAAAGGGAAACGGTTAAACAACGTCCTGAAGGACAAGGAAATCCTTAACAAAGTTGGGTACAAAATAGAAGACCTCGAACTAAAAGTGAACATACTGACGTATAAAATGCAGTACGGCTCGTGGCCTATGCCCCACGAAATTCAAAAACCGAAGTTCAGGAAGCACCTGCAAAATCTTCGACTAACATTATCAAACGCCAACGACCGCGCTGATTGGATCAAACAAGTGCTATTAAGGTATCGAGATCTTTTTGATCTTTAACAACTCACATTAATTGTCAAGTTAATTTGATCTCACTTTTGAATATCGACATAATTTGATTCCTCTAGACTTTTGATTTGGACTGGATTGGATTGGAGGACTGGATTCCTCTTACAAACCTTCAAATTACTCACTAAACTTATAAGAATTGTAATTTTAAAACGCCTTGTACTATTTATATTACTTCTTTCAGACCCGGAAGAGACGAATCGTTCATTTCATATTCAAAAGGCAAGCATCATCCCTCTGAGCATCATCTAACAGAGCTATTCGACGCAAAGAAGAATTCCTTTTATCGCTGTCCAAGGCGTGAAGTTTTACCCCTAGAACCCATCAACAGATCTTCGAAAAGCGACAGCGACAGATCCTTAAAGTACAATTACAGTATAGACTCGCATACCTGCTTCGCTTTTGTAGTTCTAAAGTCAATCGTACAGATTCCAAACGTTTCAAATTGCATGCAGTAAAGAGACCACTACTATTTTCAATTCCAAATAATTATCATACACATTATTTGTACCCTAAAGCTTTTGTGCTTGCAGGATGAATCCTGTGTTTAAGAGGGTGGGCAATCGAAGACGACGCAAGGCGTCCAAAAGCGAGAATTTTGAAGTGCAGAACAAAAATGTGTCCTCACATCCGCTCCCCCAGCAAAAAGGAAACAGTAGATCAACGAGCAGGCTAGGTCATAAAGCGAAACTTCTCAAAGCTGAAAAAATGATGGAGCCATTCAAGAAATACACGAGGAGTATGGACGAATGCAAACAATTTTTGCAAGAATTACACGAAAGCAACAAAAACCTTGGGTTGGTCTGCAGTTCTCAAGAAATCAGCAACGAATCTTCGGTTAATAATTGCTGGTCGGATGTGCAGGTAAACTGAAAGGATATACTGAAAGACTCATTAAACGTTCGCAGTTCGCTTTTCATGATGATTAATGGACCATGGATTTTTATTTAGATTTACGTGTTTATTGTACAAAAAGTACAAAACTGGGATAAACTATATTTTAATAGTTCAAGTAAATTAAAAATAGTATTTAAAAAATGAATTCTTGTGAAAATGTCTATTATATACTTTTTTTTCATTTATACGAAACTGTAAATAGATAAAAATGTACAGCTAAGTAATTCAGTCGTGTAGATATTAGATAACTATTGTGCAATATGTAATATGATTATAATGTCATTGTAAACAGATACATCATATCAGTTCAAAGCTACAATTTATTATTCTTTCCATACCAACGAAACCTAAAAAGCCCATTCTGCTAGCATTTAATGAGATCCTAAACCTACAATGAGTTATGTACATTATATTGCAGCAGCAGAAATATATCCAACAAAAGGATACACCTAGTGTAAGTGAAAAGTCAAGAGAAAACTCAGTGGACACAAATAAAATAACGATGAAACAAAAAAAAGATATGAAAGCAAAAGTACCAAGGAAACAAAACAAAGAAAATTGTTTAGATATATCGAATGCAGTTTGCCCGATTATAAAGCTAACTGACAAACGTTTAGTACCTTCGAAAATGAATATAACATTTTGTAACGAAATGTTTCCTCAGCAATCATCGCACACATTTATTCCGCAATTGTGTGAACGTCAGAAGTATATAGAAACGTCTCAGGAAACTTTGTATCAAGTAAAAAAGAAGCTGGAAAGTTTACATAATGTAATACGAACGTACGAGATACAAAATTCAGAAGCAAGAGTAAAAGACAAATCACAGGACAGTGGTAATAAACTAAACAACATTTATCAAAATGTCATGGATAAGACTATCTCGATTAAAACAGAAGCTAATGCTCGGGACAAGAAGGGAAAAAATAGAGTAGGTTTCAACACTGCCACTAGAAAAGGTTTCAATGATATACACAAAACTGTCTACATCAGTTCTGAACAATATGACAGTGATGAAACAGGCAGGAGTTCTGATATATCTATTCAAAGTTATTCACACGTAGTTAGCACATATTATACAAATAATTTAAATGATCTTTATTCTTCGCTTCCTAAACAAACAGAAAATCAAATGTATTTATTGAGTAATCAGAAATCGAACAAAATTCCAGAAAGAGTATATTATACTATTTCATCTGACTTTGTCGATGATAAGAACAGCAGTACAGAAACAATCGCGAAGGATAATTATGTAATACCAAATGAAACAAAACCATTTAGTTACTCAGAAGGACAGATCGTCCCAATGGAAACTGATGAAGATTTGATAACATCACCAACCTCAAGTCGCACAGAAATATCCAAAGAGAGTGAATCAGATGATAAATCCACAGCATTGTTGCTTCAAGAAGCATTGCAAATCAAAAGAGCATTATTAACACGTGTAGAACTAGAAAAGACATGTTACAATGACGAGAAGAGAGAAAATATAAGTAACAAATGTATATCAGAATATAGTAAATGCTCTTACATTAATAATAATCTTCAGACTAAACTATTAGATATCATAACAGAGGAACAATCTGTTAGTAGCTCGACTGAAAGAAGTAGTCGAACTTATATGTTTTTCAATATAAAACATGGAAAACAATTACCTAATTCTTCAAGATTTAGCGAAAACGTAAGAGACTTCATACATAAAAATCAAATTATGAATCAGGACACACGCAGAGATGGCACTGATTCTAACCAAAATCTTGCTTCGGGTTCTGAATATTTTAGTCTCAGTAACATAATACAGGAAAATGATAAAGCTAATATTAATGAATTATCTTTATCAAAATACAAGAGCGTACATGAAACTAAGTCTACAGAAAGTGTTTCAAGTAATTTACATATAAAGCATGAAAGTAATACTTCAAATAAATCTGACGAGAAACTTAAGGAAATAGAATTTACAAACTACTTGAGAAATGTACATACCGAAGAGAAACCTAAATCAAATTTCTTATGTATCAGCAATATGAATGAGCTCGTAACTCATAATAATAGCAGCATGGAGCTATTTTCAGAAAACTTAAATGACTCTTTCATAGATGAACAGAATTTAAATTTAAACAAAAATGAAGGCTGTAATCTTTTGGATTCAGATTCTGTGGATCATTGTAAAATCGTAGATGACTTGTTAAATAAAAACTTAAATGTATTAGAGGATAAGAAATATATCGAAGACAATGAAAATTTGATATCTAGTCCAAATTTGAGTTTAAAGAGGCATCCTGGCACGTGCTCATTAATAGAACAAATAATAGCAACAGAAAATGCTGAAGAAACAACAGAATTTCATACACTGATAGATAATGCAGGTACAATGTATGAATTATCAATCTCTGAAAGTAAAGAAAACTCAATTGAGACAAACTTACAGGATTCATGTAGTATAAATTACTCAAACAATTCTAATATTCCAGAACAATCTTCTATAACAGAATTGGCTAACAAATCAGCAGATGAAGAATTAAATTTAAACTGGTCAACTGTCAAGAATGATTATAGCGATGATTATGTTAACGTAAAAAACGAACAAACGATTTCAACTAATACCATAACTATTCAAAAATGCGATTTCGTCGAAGTAGAAAATTGTGATGAACAAGGACCAACATGCAAGGAAGAGTTGTCTTCAACAGAAAGGCGCAAAGCACCACAAGTTCGCTATGTTGAAGATGGAAAAAATAGTTCAGTAGCGCAAAATTCAGTTGTTAATCTGGATAATAAAGAAATAATTAATGAGGCAGACCTCTATAAATCTTATTCCAACCTCATTTCCCCACAGAGTAGTGTGTATTTCACAGATGAAGCTTCAAGTTCTACTACGAAATTAAATAATTCAAATCCGAAACACACGAAAGACTATGTATATTCAACTTTAAAGGCACAACAAACTAACACAAAATTAGACTACCATGAACAAGATTTAAAGGATACTAGAAATACTGATTTGTTATTTATTTCCAAATCAAATGACCATAAAATGGTCAACCTAGCAGAAACAAAGATCGCAAAGTCCTATGTGAAAATTACAATTAACAATGATGATGAGACAACAAAATTATTAGACTTCGATAGAGAAAGTAATAAAAATAACGTAACCGTTTCTGAAAATCATATAAAAAATATTAATGCGTCAACAATAAACAACATAGAAGCAACAATAAAAGATGAAATAACTTTAGAAAACCAAACTTCAATACCATACAATAATATGAATAATCAAATTTCACTACCAACAAGTATGAGTCCTAGTGATAAAGAACAATTAAATTCACATGTAAATGAAACAAAAATAATTACAGACCAAACTGCAATTTTATCGGGTACATCTTCGTGTCAAGTTTCTCCAAGGGATCTAAACGAAAATATAACATTGCAAAGAACAAATACAAAAATAAAATCAAAAAGTTACGAGATTTCAAAGTTTGAAACATTAAAAAAATCAGTTGCTTTGCAGAGTTTGAAAAGTTTAAAATCTGATTCGGCGAATACCGTTCATACTAGAACAGATTATAATACACCATCAATCCAAACAAAATTTAGAGATTTATCTATTGAACGTAGACATAATATCGACCACAACGTTAAGTTAGGTTTAAAGAGATCTCGATCACAAATAAGTTTTGGATCAAATGGATCATCAAAGTATGGATCATCAAAATATATATCATCACAATCTTATGAATTTCCAAGTAATACAGCAGATTTTATACAACGAAATGACACTAAATTGCAGTTAAAAAGTTATACAAAACAATTAATACCAACACCAAAAACTTCTTCACGATCGTGCATACCGGTTTTAAAAAGCAGATTGGAAGCAGCTCGAAAAACAGAAAATGTAACTAGATCTAGAAGTCCAGCGAGGAGTCCATTAACAATGACTATGCTTTGGAGAGACAACTTATCCAGTAAAAGTCATTATGCAACAGAAGAAAGTTTAAAAGTAGAAGGCACATTGAAAGTTAATAATCAGCATTTAAAAGAAATAAATAATTGCATTAAAAATCCAGATGATATACCATCATCGTGTGCGATAGATAATACAATTGCAAATACTGATAGTAATATTACTGCACAAGAACAAATGGTAATCTATGTTAATATATTCACAAAATATGATCATAACACAACAAAGATAGTAGATCCCAACAAATTTTTAGAATATATTAAAAACAGAGAGATGAATATACAAAAAGAAACTTTTGACAACAAATTCGATAAGAAAAATGAAAACCTTGCAACAGATTCAATTGAAAAGAAACAAAGCGCCATGCACAAAATTGTAACTATTGTTTCTTCTGTTATAAATGGTAATGAGTTAAATCAAAATATATCTACTGATTTGACTGCTTCTAAAGCAAACAGTGCATCGCTAACGAATAGTTTATCAAGCGATAAATTAAAACATTTGTGTTTTCTATCTGTAGAACAAAAAGAAATTGATGTTACTGCTAAGCCATCAGTTACTGATACAAGCACGTCTATCACGGATTTAGAAAATATTTCAAGAACATCAGAAAGTGCATTAAATAAATTTCAAATATGCGGAACACCTAAAGAATTGAACAACGATGAATATGTAGCATTACTTGAAATTCTTCATCAGGAACCAAATTTGGCACATTTACATGAATTACAAAATGTATGCAAGAAACTTGTATCTGAACGTCAAATCTCCAACTGATTATCGATTACAAATATTACTTAATGTCTGTATTCATAAAATTCGTAAAGAATGACCCCAGGCATAGTTTTTTTATATGTTGTACTTTTATTTTACACTGATAAGATGGAACTCTATGTAATTATGTTGTGTATATATGAACACATTTGGAAATAAATGTATTTTTTATAATTTCAACAAAAATATAGAAGTCAATTTTACGTAAGTAATAATATTTAAAAAATCTTACCTGCATTTGGGCACTTTGGCAGTTGACAAATTCGATACTCGATACAACTGAGTCAAAAACAATAGATGATTTGCGACATGAATCCATCACAATGGAATTTACTTTGCCTTTAATAACTAAGGTACAATCTTGACAACGGAACATATAGATGACGTTATTCATCTCTACATTTTCAACGAGCAAATCTTTATTTCCTTTGTGGTATTCCTGTAACGAAAAGCAAAATATAGTTTCGAACAAAAAGAGTAAAAAACTGAAAAAACTGATTTCATTATATTGTAGATAATAATACTTACTATAAGCCATTTCTTTCCATCTTTAGTAAATACTGGTGGTTTGTCAATTGGTGCACTTGCAGGTGGTACTGTTTTCGACGGTATAGCATTATCGACTATTGGCGCTTTAAATGGTGCTGGACCAGTTCTTAGTGAAGGGTTTTTATGTGTCTGCATTTCAGAAGTTACTTTCTTTAAATCTGTTAAGCAAAACGTTAATTTATTAATTATTTTAAGTAACTAAAGTATTGATATTCCACGTCCAAGCTATATTTACTTTTCGTAATAGCTTCGCCTTGATTAATTTCTGCGAAAAGAGCACTTCTATCATCAGCAATATTGATGGGTGCCACATCTCCAATAGGCATGCATGGTGGTGGAGGTGGTGGTATGCCTGCCGGTGCAGAGCCAGTTTTTGCCCAGACCAATCCTGTTGTGTGATGTTGACGTACATATTGTTGAAGATCACTTAGTGTTTGTACCCAAGCCTTGCACCATTCTGCGTGCACTTTATCTCTGCAGATATAAAGAACTAAATGAACTCTGTATCAATACATGAATTTTTCAAAAATATAAATTAGATTTTACAAAAATAACTATAAAAACACTCTTATTTTTTTATTATCGTGAAATTATATATAAAAAAAACTTACTTTTCTTTCCAATCTTTCAAGACACGATTAGAATAAAATTGTCCTGCATCATTCATTTCTTTTACATAAGGTGCTGGTGTAGGTGATACAGCAACCCATCCCAAAGCTGGAATACTTTCACTAATTGCTGATAAATGATTAAAGAATTGAGACCCTCTATTTTTCTCTCGAAAATCTTGAATTTGTTGAATTTGTGTAGAGGTGGGTGCAAGTAGAGCAATCTGTTCTGACTGATTCGTTGGAGCTGGCCGACTTGCTGCAGTTTGAATAAATGCAAGTTGAATTCTATAAGAAAAGAACAAAAATGTTATGTAATTCGCATAAAATTATTTAATGTCTAAAGTAGTATTGTAGTAAAATACTTACTGAAATGCCTTTTCTACAAGCTTACTATGGACGGCTACATCGCCACCAATTTTATCACTTAATTGCAAATATTCTCTTACGGGTCCAGCCAATAAATCTTCATAGCCTGAGACTGACATGCTTACAGTTTTATCTGATACTGATTTATGAGGTAACTGAACAGGTGAGGCAGACTGTACTGATGTACCGTTTTCAACTGGCTTAGACCTCCTTGGTGATGGTGTACTTGTTTGGACAGCAGTGTCTTGAGTTTCAGCTACAGAATGTCCTCGCACTTTTTCTAATCGTTTGGTAACGTTTTCCAATCGATTAACTAATTCTTCTAAGTGATCTTCTTTATCGCTGGAGTCGCAACCTTTAATGTAATATATATTTAATGGATTAATATGTGACAAATGATGTAAACAATATAGGAAAATCATTAAGATCATTCATTGAATAGTAATATATTAAATTCATTTACATCTTATAAAATGTTAATATTGTAAAGTGTTAAAAAATTCATGCAAAAAAAAACAAAACTTGATTTTACAGCTTATAAGATTTAACAGTGAACTACATTATTATTTTATTACAAAATTTCAATAATAACTTTAATATAAAACTGCTACTAATAGCAAGGTACATATTCCAGAAAGTTCACATTTATGAAATGTATATTAAATATAGAATGAGTGTATAAATAGTTGCATTAACATCCACAGCCATTAGATCATTATGTTGCAAGCATATGTAATAGAAATAAATTTGTGTTTTCTTTGTAATGCCAATGTTACTTACTTCAGTAACTATTTACTTAAGATAAAAATTGAAGTAATGTAAGTACAATTAATCTACTTTTTATTATTTTTGTTTAGTGAATTCATACAAAAAAGTAGTTGATATTAAAATAATAGTCAACTGAAATAATTGTCCCCATACCAAATTGAATCCAACAGAGTACAAATAAAAATCGCACTTTGTTTACAAGTCCATTCGTTTTATCCAAAATTATTTCTATGTTAAGAAACGTTTACGATCCGCGAGATCTAGTCTTTTCAGAAACTGGTGAAGAACTAAACCGCGGGTCTAATGATATTCAACGCATGTATATACCGGCCTATTATTAGGAAATCTGCGAAAAGTGAATCGCGACCGTGAGTGTTACAAACCCTGCGTGGGTAGGCACTATTTCATGTAGTGGATTTCACACGGTCCTTCAATGATACTTAATGACAAAGAAATGCGTCCATTGAATTAAATAACAAGCATTGAGAAGTCTTTAATACTTCATAAAATGTTATTTATAAAATACTTGTATATACTTTACTTTTTCGTTATAAAGATAAATCTTTTAAAAACAACTCCGAGATATAAAAATCGTCATAATAATTACTTTTCGCTACTACATTCATTTCTTAGAAATCTTCTTTCCGGTTATATAAAGTTCATCAAATCATACAACTGAAAGGTAAATAGGTCAAACAGTAAAAATAGAATGACTAAGATCGAAACAATGTGTAAATCCAGTAAACCTGATACTCGTGAGTACGTCTGTCATAACTTGGAAACAACGTTTGAGAATAATTTCCGATATACTACCATGTTGTTTTAGAACTAATGTGCTGTCCACTTACACATATAAATTATTTATGGCTACCATATTTTAAGGTTGCTCGAGTTAATCCAATTATAGTATTTCACATAATTTCAAGTTAATCTTTCAATTAATATTTAAGGAAATACATTTGTTATCAACGATAAAACAATAAAAACAACTCTATACCAACAATGTTCGTTATAATAATACAAAATACGTCGCATTGCGCAAAACACAACGCAACGCGCAAAAATTAAAATCAAAATAATGAGAGTCGCATATGAACAATAGTGCGCTTATTGTATTCGCAATATCAACTCTTTGCACCTGAAAGTTTGTTTGCTAGATCATTTTCTAACGAAACATTAATGATATATTTTACAACTAACATAAATATAAGTAATACACGGATCAAGGAATAGAACTATTCTATTTCAACGTTTCATGTGTAACTATATTATATGAATTTTAATATTGAATACCAAACTTTATATTGGATCGATGCAAAAAGTTTGACGTTCTTGTTTGTAACAAAAAAAATTTTTTTAGAAACAGATAACATCTGTTATCAAACTATTATAGTGTATACAAGGACACTTTCTTCTTTGTTTTTACTTAGTTTTGATTTTACCAGCGAACAATTAAGCTACTAAATAAATCTAAAGCTAAAAGCATCAAAACCTTTACAGCAACCCGATGATTCTGTAATATCGAATCAAAATGGAGACTGTGAATCGCCTCTCCAGTGCAAAGAGTTAATAAATAAATGCAAAATATTTTTCAGTTGCACCTAGTACGCATTCAAAATTACAAAGAAAACATCAATAGAAATCATACAAAGTAGGAAATGAATTTAGGGTGGACCCTAACCAGCGTGCACCATCGGTCCTAGGGGGTCGAACCTCACTCTGTGCTCCGTCGCGTTTTGCGCGGCGTGCAACAAATCGGAGAAGAATCTGTGACGCCTTAAGGCTAGCTCATCGCGGGCGACCGGCGTCGCGGGCGGTTCTTGCATTCCGCTGCACTCTTCCGAATCATGTTCGCCATCGTCTTCTTCCGACAGCCAGCGAGGAACTGAAGACGCTGCGCACCATACACCCCAATATTGGCATTTAATCCACGTAAACATTTCGATTATAATTTCCACATTTCCAGTTCAAAATAAATTACTCGAGACAATAATGTCAAACCGTAAGAAAGAATCGTCTTAAAAAAGTCCCCTCATCGATAAGGCAGAATTCTATTCCTTCATTCTAATAAAATTAGGATACAATAATTGATGAACAAACTGTAAATCTTAGTGTTTTTGGCTCATACAAATTTTTAATATTTATAAAATGTATATAATAACATGTATTAAAAATTATAAATATATAATATATTATATTATATAAAAACAATATTCGAGTTATTATGTGGAAATTTCAATAAACAAAGAGTAAGAATACTTGCATACCAACATACTTTCTTAAGATCGATTCTTTCCTTTGACCCAATTGTACAATTTTCAATTAAAAGGAACACAATGTACAAACACGAGGGATGTTCATTATTCACTACTTGAAATAATATTTTACCCAACATTGCGGTTACTACCGTGGACCAGTGAACACGAATGAATTATAGTTGTCGTAGTAACGTGTCACGCGCGACAAACGATCAAAACTATTAACAGGATTCACGCGTTCAAAGCAGTCGATGAAAACCGAATGTAAACATTCATGGATAAAAATATACCTGGCGGCAGTTTTTTATTCGCATTGTTGTCGTTCGGGCAGGCTTCGAAAACGGAATCATCGCCTTCTTCTTCTGGCCCATCGTCGATGGTTCTCTCGATGTACGCGGTAGAGGAATCATAAAGGTTCATTTTAACGGTGTTAGGAACACTGGAATTCAGTATTGCCGCCATTAATCCGTTATCGCCTCCCCCGTCACCGATCACACTTGTGTCGTCATTTCCGTCTACTTCTCCGATTCCATTCATATCCTTGACACCGCACAATCCTCTTATCTCGTCCTCCTTTGTTCGATTGTCCCCATTTTCGGGATCGCCGTCGCGGTTCTTGTCATTCGATTCCGTTATCGATTCTTGCTTCGATCGCACGGCATCATTAGCTTCGTCGCGCTTACCAGAAGGCAACGGACTCTTGACAGTCAAGTCATCAATCACCACCTCGGAGCAATTCTCCATCGACGGCGAAACTTTCTCCGATCTCTGCACGTCACCGTTCAACTTCTCGTCTCGGCCGATCTGCCCGTTCCCTTCAACCCCCGTCGACTCGACGGGAACTATCAGCGAGTCGGCCGCTTTCTGACTTTGCTTCGCCACCTCGCCGCTTGGCTTCTCCTTCTTTGTGCTCTTATTGCACACACAGCATTTAAACATCGTCAATATCGATTATAGATTTCCGTTGTATCAGCAGTAAACGCTTTTGGCGCTTTCGGCCTTTCGAACTTTAGCTCTTTGAAAGCAATGCCCTTACGCTTCGGTTAACCGTTTCAACGTATCGACCATATGTCTTCTGTATCGCGACGATTATCGATTCACTGGGATCGATATCGATCGATTTAATACCGAAAATTGACTGAAATACTTTCGAATTTTCTTAAATTCAACGATTAAAATATAAACTCAGAAACGTGTGTATATGACTAGAGTAGTAACAGTGTGAAGTATATCGAATATAAATTCAAAATTCAGTACTGCGAAGCGAACACATTGCAGTTTGTTTAACAATCAATTGTTATTAAAAAATGTTTCTAAATAACGTTTCGTAACAATTATTGATTTGGAATATCAAAAGTAATAACGGCAAGTAACAACACTCTGATATAAGGGTAAGTTCAGCACCGACCCCTCACAGCCGAAGTAACCAGTACTTGCATATTTTAATTTAAGTACGCGGCCATGGTAGCCCTTCGCAAACGACGGAACTAAACGATCGAATATTCTATTCCAGCCGGATTTCCCACGGGAATCGCGCACTATATAAATTGTTCAGCACACAAACGTACTTCAATTACATTTACTCACAGCCGGTTTGTGTGTATAGTCGGCGGTTAGCTAACATCGTAAACCCCTCGTGAACAGCTGAACCGGCGAAACAATGTTACGATTAGTAATTAACGATTCTGTTATTTTGACTTTGTCAATCTAAACGTTAAGTGTATTGTTAACTGTCAACGTATACCAAAAAAACTAGGCATACCGCTGTGCACAATATAACAGAGATAAAACATCTACGCAACATGGATTCGTTTGTTTCAACAATACACGTTCGCCATTGTTAATCATTCTATAGAAATAACAAATTTAATAACACTATATTAATATTATAATATTATTTAGTAACGTTAATTGCAACAAAACCGCATCAGAGTTTCGGGGAATCCCGGCTAACCAAGATCCGTAACGTATTTTCCCCGCGAAATTCTGTTGATGGCGTGATGATCGATTCCAACTACGCCCAGACCTTACGCTTTCGAGATTAGTCCGGCGACGGAAATGGAGGTGCACGACGATTGAATCTTCGAATGCGTGCAAAAGAGAACCCACCATAAATTTTACACTTTTATCAATTTTCCATTGAACAGAATTTTTTAATATATATATTTTTTAACGACTTCCAATTGCGATCAATGGAAAACAGGAACGAGATAAATTCTCCGTCAGAAAGCAAACACACGCCCTTTCTAACAACGATACATCCTTTCGGCTATATACAGCGTCTACGTTATTCATACTCACATAAAAGAAACGGATAATTCGATAACTCGCGAAGAGTAGATAAGCAAACATTTACATACGAATATATCGAAAATGTATGTCGGTTACGTACGTGCTGGTATTGTTTCCGACGGAAGCACATATATTAATACGACGAACATCAATGAATAAATAACCGAACATCGGTGAAGCATTCCATAAATTCATTTATCGTGAGTCATTTCTGTTAATTATAAACAATGCAATTGATTACATGAATTAACATCATTGCCACTCGATTCTAGTACTCGGATACCGCGTGAATCACTGAAATTCTTCAGGCCGCCGTAAGGTTATACGCACTTTAAATATCAATGAAATGTCGATTTTAGTTTAATTATTTTTTATGAAAATATATTCGATCGTGAAATAATATTTCGAGGATTGCTGATGAATGAATACTTTCACTTCTGATTATTCGAACATTATTGACACTCAGTAACCGTGTAAATTTCTATGAAATATACAAACAGAACATTTCAATTCAATTACTTGACCCGCGAGGGTGGAGTTTCTGTCCTCAAAAACAGTCTACTTTGGAAGAAACCCGGCGCAATACTCTGCCGCTTCTGGTTTCGACCGGCACACTGCGGTGCTGCCACAGGGTGGTCGAGACCCGAAATTGTTGCAAATTTCTTAGGCAGGAGCCACGTGCACCAAAGGACTCTCTCGAAATGTAAGCTGTCTTCTAACAGGACTACATAAACAGCTACAGCCTTCTTTTGCTGCTGTTAAATAACTGTTATGATTCATTGCGTTTTTACTTTGACATTTGTATACAATCGCCAATAAAAAAAAACATTTAATATAAAAATATTAATTAATGTAATATCTTTCAAAATTACGATTTAATAAAAAATAACATTTATTGGAAATAATTATGAATTAGTAGCACTTGTAATTAAAAAACAGTATGAAGCGTAATTCTAGTGTTATAAGGATTTAGAAAATTTAAAATAAATTTCATAAATAATTTGGAAATGGATTTCAAATCTGTTGCATATATGAAAAATACACATGCGGTATGACTCATATTGCAGAGGAATAATTTCTGACACGCCTTCGGATGTATTATATTCTTTATCAGCTTCTACGCCATATATGGAACATAAATGACTTACACTGATAGTGGCTCATTTATCTAATATTTATCAAATGCAAATAACACGAATGCAGAAACACCGATTTTAAATAATAAATGTACAACAACGAAGAAAATTAATGCACTGATTGGAAATTTCAGTAATGAGGAAAATTCATTATATTTATTTCTATAAATATTTTATGTATATTTATATGAACCCTACAAGTGCAATTAATAAACAATGAAATATTGATTTTCATAGCTTGTTTTAATGTATAAATTTTATATTGCACGATGAAAATTATTACGCGAAATCTGTCAGATTACATTTAAAAAAAAAGGAATCGATTGATACTCACGATTCTTCCACATATTTAACACTTTTTTATAAGCACCTGGTACCATTCGAGAGTCATCTTCGATGACTTTACGAACTTCAGACATTTTAAAAAACACTTTTCCACGTTAACACTGACACAACTAATTAACGTAAAAAATAACTATAGAGGACGTAAAAACTGATACGTTCGATGTGTAACCGATGAATGATGATAACGGACTCACTTCGTCAGCTTTCACAATGGAATTTTAATCTCGCATCAGAACCGCAGGACCGTGTCATATAACCAACCTAATAGTAAAAAATCTCAGCAACGAAATTTTTTGCCTTTTAATTTCTAAATTAAGAAGTTCAATTTACGAAACGGTTACACGAATTGGCATTAAACAAAGATAACCGTATACTTAGATTTTAGAAGCTTTAAAATTTTCCCAATTGTTCTTGAAATTCTGTAATTTAAATATTACGAATTTATAGTTTTTTTTGCGAAAAAAATTAGTTGCTTCCCGTAAAAAATGTGTACATTTGTAACATTTATGAACATAAAAATACAGAAATAAAAATTTCTTTTCTGTAGATGCATGAAATGATATTTTGACACTACGATTACTACTACTTAGATTTTATATATTTATATTTATGCAATATTAAAAGACATTAAGACACATTACCAGGTGTCAAGAGTCAGGTGCATTCTAGTATGACTCACGGTTGAAACGTTGCAGGAGGTATAAACTGCACCCCTATAATCCCGTTCATAACCAAATCAAAAGTTTTCTTGTATATTTCATTTTTATAAATTGTATTCCCAATATTTTGAAGCCTTTAATGATTATAACCGCACGCGTCAAGTATATATGTGTCTAACATGGATATATGAATAATATAAATTGCGGGAACATATAAATAGTAAAATGTTTTCAGAAAAGTTAATATGAACCTAATGGCTGTGGCATGTTTTATAACGGTATTATGGAAAATATGCGTATTTACTCACCGATATGAAGTTTCGCTGATGTTCAGCACCATGTATGCTGTCACTTTATGACAATCGATTTAACAATAACACAACAAACACGATACACAACTGATATGAATTCAGTCTGACAACTTTACTACATACACTGGGGCGTTTGCCGGATACCGGAAGTACTACTCTTACTATTATGAAAGCTTAGAATTGTTAACTGCACATGCGCCTGCATTCAAGCGCATCGTCTCGAAAATAAAACATTATGTTATAGTAATATCATTTTAAAATTCGAAACAATCGAATTAGAAAAAGAGACAACTTTCTATGTTGCAGATTAATCAAATTTATTACACTTTATGTATTCGAATAAATCTGAATTTATTCTTTTATATATTAATACAAATTTTAAATCAATTAGTATACTAAAATTAAATATAATAAACATATTTACAAATTCTAGGTAAATTATAAAATTAAATTTGTATAATATTTTTAAATAGCAAGACTGCTCTGCACTGATCTATATTCTTCATGGTGCTGCCATCTGATTCTGTAGTCGAAAAAGGTGACTGCAGTAACTACGCTGAGTCACGGATAACTTAATCTAATATTTTTCTTTATCAGTATTTGCTATCATGAAGTTTAAAATTTCATAGTATTTTGGAATATTAATTTACTTTTTAAATACAAATAGTACTATAAATTTACATAAATTAATTACGTAAGTTGTTTCTTTAACGTCAGATATTTTACCGTAACCGCATCGCACAAATTGTACATATATATTAGCGTAATTTTGCCGAAATAACGATATATCATAATATATAAGGTGATTGATTTTTACTAATCTACAATTAAAATAGAAACAGGGTACAAAAAATATCATATAAATAAAAACATGAACACAAAATTTATATTTATCGAATCGATGGATATTTTAAGCACGATACCTCAGTATCATACACTGATAGGAGCATTCTTGATCTTTTGGTTTATTTGGTTTACTGTTAAGAGGTGGTACAACAAACATGATAGAGTACCAACAGAGGAAGAAGTGGAGAAGAAACTTGCAGAGTGGAACCCTGAACCACTTATAACCAATCCTCAAACATCTCATCCATCTTTAAACCCAAGATGTATAACGTCTAAAGCTGGTAAAAGAATAGTTATCAATGGAAAAGATTGTTTAAATCTAGGTACACATAATTACCTAGGTTTAGTAGAAAACAACGAAATAGAAAAGGCATCAATAGCAACAGTAAGAAAATATGGAGTAGGATCATGTGGTCCACGTGGATTCTATGGTACCGTTGATGTGCATCTGGAATTAGAAGAACGTCTAGCAGAATATACGGATACAGAAGAAGCTGTAGTATATTCATATGGATTTAGTACAATAGCATCTGCAGTAGCTGCATATTGTAAGCGTAAAGATCTTGTATTTGTGGATGAAAAAGTAAGTTTTGCCAATCAAAAAGGATTAGATGCGTGTAGAAGTAATGTAAAATATTTTAAACATAATGATGTAAATGATCTCCATGATTTACTGAAAAAACAAGCGAAACTTGATGAACAAAATCCTAAAAAAGCAAGTAAAATAAAACGATTTTTAATAGTTGAAGGTATTTATATGAATACTGGACAAATTTGCCCATTACCAGATTTACTTGCACTTTGCAAGAAATATAAATTAAGATTATTTATTGATGAATCGATATCGTTTGGTACTATTGGTGCACATGGAAAGGGTGTCACAGAATATTTTAATATTCCCATACATGAAATTGATATGATTATGGGTTGGTAATAGTGCTACATATGTACTGTGTTATAATTGTACTTATTTACTTTTATTAAAAAAAATTTATTTATATAAATTTTAGGGTCCTTAGAGTTGGCATTGGGATCTATTGGTGGATTTTGTGTAGGTACATCCTTTGTTATTGAACACCAACGCTTGTCTGGACTCGGATATTGTTTTTCCGCGTCCCTTCCACCTCTTTTGACATCTGCTGCTATTACTTCTCTAGATATTATGAAAAATAACCCACAACTATTTGAGTCATTAAAAGAGAATTGTATAGCTGTAAATAATGGACTTCAAAACATTCAGAGTTTGGAGTGCTCAAGCTTTTCGGGGTCTCCAGTGAAACATGTGTATTTGAAAGAAAAAATGGATCGTGAGATAGAAGAAAAGTTACTCTCTAAAATCTCCGAAAAATGTATAGAAAATAATTTAGCTGTTATAATGCCTGCATATTTAGAGGTAGAAAGGGAATTACCCAGACCTAGCCTCAGGCTTTGTATTTCTACACTCTTAAATAAAGATGATATCAATTTTGCACTGAAGGTATTACAACAATGTGCTGAAGAAGTTCTATCATTGTAAATGAAAAGACAATCAAAGTATTTTTGAAAATGAAACGTATTTTAAAATTTATACACATATTCTGCATGCACATACTATTTATGAGTACTTATGTACAAACACGCATTTATTGCACAAATGTGTAAGGCCTCCCACCAATTGTACAAGCGAAACATATTCCTATTTTACAAATATTTTATTTTTTATTTCATATCATATCATTTACACACAGTTATCTATTTTGCATATTATATTTTAATTCAATAATATTTCTCTACCAATGATTTGTTTATATGTAATGTATAACTTTAAAGGAACAAATAAATACAAAGTACAAAACAAAATATGTATATAAATCTCTCGATTTATTTCTTATAATAACGCATAAATTTATTGTAACCCTATATAATATGGTAATTAAAAATATAAATTTTATGGTACAAATAAAAAACAAACGAAATACAAGAAAAAATTAATTTGTACAACTTCCTTACATTGTTATAAATAATTTTTTGAGAGTGGGAAAATTTTGTAGTTTGATGACGTACTTCCTCCAATATGGCCGGTAGGTTTACATCATGAAGGAGTGACGACTTCCTCTTTCTTCTTCATTTTATCTGCAAAGCTTGCCACGGTAAGTAAATTTTGTTCCGATATTTCTTTCAAACCTTCAGTAATTATTTATCTTCTGCGTTCAACAATAATTCCTACTATTAAGTACATGCTATTATGAAAATATAAAAGCAAAATATTAACCATTTTTTTGTATTTCTTTATTAAATTGGAAATAAACAATTCATAAGGTTAGCCTACCATGTGGTTGGATATCTGAAATTCATTATATGTAATTATTCAAAAGAATTTTATGTATTCATTA